GGAGTTCGTTCGAAAATGTGATAAATGTCAAAGGTTTGCACCGATGATCCATCAACCCGCAGAGTAGCTTCATTCGGTCATTTCTCCATGGCCATTCATGAAATGGGGAATGGATATCGTCGGCCCTCTACCATCGGCCTCATGTAAAGCTAAATTCATTTTGTTTATGACTGACTATTTCTCTAAATGGGTTGAAGCACAGGCGTTCAAAAAAGTAAGAGAAAAAGAGGATATAGGTTTCATCTGGTACCACATCGTGTGTCGATTTGGGATACCAGCAGAAATAACATGCGACAATGGTAAACAATTTATCGGCGGTAAAGTGACAAAATTCCTCTAAGACCATAAAATAAAAATAATACTGTCCACACCATATCATCCTAGCGGGAACGGACAGGCCGAATCAACGAACAAGATTATCATCCAAAATATAAAGAAAAGATTGAACGAAGCTAAAGGAAAGTGGAGAGAAATTTTGCCCGAAGTCCTTTGGGCATATCGGACAACATCTAAATCCTGTACATGAGCGAACCCATTTTCCTTAGTGTATGTCTCCGAAACTTTAATTACGGTCGAAGTCGGGGAACCAAGCACTAGGTTCCAACATACATCGGAAGAATCGAATTACGAGGCAATGAATACTAGCCTCGAATTATTAGATGAAAAATGAGAAGCGGCACTGGTTCGAATGGCTGCACAAAAACAACGAATCAAAAGGTACTACAACAGAAGAACCAACCTCCACCATTTCAAGACCAGGGACTTGGTCCTAAGGAAGGTCACCGTCAACACTCGAGATCCTAATGAAGGGAAGCTCGCCCCAAATTGGGAAGGACCCTATCAAGTCCTTGATATAGTCGGAAAAAGGTCTTATAAACTTGGAGCAATGGATGGAAAACCATTACCAAACAATTGGAACATATCGCTTCTCAAACGATATTACTGTTAAGGTATGGTTTTCTCTTCACTATCGTCTATATACGTATATTCGACACTAACTCATTGCAGGAATTCAACAAAAAATATCAAGACCTCTGGTTTCAAATCACGCGTTGTACTCTTTTTCCCTTAAGTTCGACTTTTATCCCAAATGGGTTTTTTCGGAAAGATTTTTAACGAGACAACAACTATGTGCTACCTGGGGACAAATTAATAGTATCTGAGGCTCCTTCGTAATCAACCTCGAATACTGGGGGGCTACCAATTGAATAAATCAAGTTCGGCACAAGAAAGTTGTTTCATATCAAACTCATGTCGAACAAGGTCTCGATAAAGAAAAGTGTAAGGACCAAATGGTCAAAACGAACCATGCCCACATAGTTTTGCTCTAACTCTGGCACAAGATACAAACACATGTATAATGATTTATATGGGAGAACTTCTTTTTTTCCAGATATCTCGCACTTTGAAAAGATCTTTCTGCTTCATGATTCAAACAGGCTTAAAGGCCAACCACCATCAAAAGGATTTTTGATACAAGCGATCATAAAAGCCTACGGGCTAAGATATTTTGAGTTCGAGTTCGAAACAATCATTCACTCAATTATTAAAGCCTAAGGGCTATCTTACTTCGAGTTCGAGCAATCACTCACTCGATCATAAAAGGCCTACATGCTAAGATATTCTGAGTTCGAGTTCGAAACAATCACNGGGCTAAGATATTTTGAGTTCGAGTTTGAAACAATCAATCACTCAATTATTAAAGCTTAAGGGCTATCTTACTTCGAGTTCGAGCAATCACTCACTCGATCATAAAAGGCCTACGGGCTTAGATATTCTGAGTTCGAGTTCGAAACAATCACTCACTCAATTATTAAAGCCTAAGGGCTATCTTACTTAGAGTTCGAGCAATCACTCACTCAATCATAAAAGGCCTACGGGCTAAGATATTTTGAGTTCGAGTTCGAAACAATCACTCACTCAATTATTAAAGCTTAAGGGCTATCTTACTTTGAGTTCGAGCAATCACTCACTCGATCATAAAAAGCCTACGGGTTATGATACTTTACTTCGAGTTCGAAACGTTAACTCGACTACTAAGCCCGTGGGCTACTTTTATTTCAAGTTCGAGCAAACACTCACTTGGCCATAAAGGCTACGAATGCCGAATTCGATGAAATCGCCTAAATCCTTATGAAAACATTCGCAAGGCATGAATACAATCTTCATAAGGCAAGAAAGCAGAAGCAAGTCAGTAAAAGAAAAAGATATTAGTATAAATATACAAAGATTGTTTACGTGAATAAATGCAACATAAAAGCTAAGGGATAAGCTTCTGGGTTATCATCGAGAGCGGTCTCTTCTTCACCGGGCTCCCCCCATTATCGGACCCGCTCTTGCTACCATCATCATCATCATCACCATCAGAATCCAAGGCTTCGGCATCAGCTTCGAGTTCTTTGGCCCTTTTTATCTCTTCAGCAAGATCGAAACCTCGAGCGTGTATCTCTTCAAGGGTCCCCCTTCGAGATCGACACTTAGCAAGTTCGGCAACCCAATGTGCTTGAGTGCCGGCAGTATCTGATGCCTCTCTTGCCTCTATTTGAGCAGCCTCAGCATTGGCTCGATACACGGTAATAGACTTTTCTGCCATGACTTTCGATGACTCAATCTCCACCTTGGCCTCAACAAGACTTGCTTCAAGCTCCTCGATCCTCTTGGCCTGAGCCGAACCTTTTTGCTTGATGCTTCGAAACTGAACATTGGCCGATGATAATTTGACCAAGATTTCTTCTTTTTTTTGCAGCCAGGCGGTCGATAGTCTCCTTCCATCGATCACATTCGGCCTTGATTTGATTGACTTTTTTCCGAAGCAACCCGATCTTTTCAACCTTTTGCTGCAACTGAGATAACGAAGGGTTAGCTTTCACAGTTGGGTCAAACTCATACTCTAACAGAACGAGGCTCACCTGCTTATCTAGTTCGGCCTCTTCTTCACGAGACTTAGCCAAATCTGCTTGGAGGTTCCTTATAACCTCGTCCTTTTGGCCGCAAAGAAGCTGCATAACATCTCTCTCCCCCGAGACCTTCTGAAGCTCGACCTCACACTGGCTGAGGTCGACTCAAAACTTGCTAATGGCCTACACAGAAGGGGAAAAACACAAATCAGGTATAGAAAAGAACGAAGAAACCAAGCGGAGTAAAATCATTACCCGAGAAATGAAACGTTGGGCCTCTTCTAGGAGAAGAGAAGTGTCACTAATATCGGAGGCATCACCGACTCCAGTGAAGCAATCTCGAAAAGGATACCCTACATTAGAGCCTCCGCCCATATCGGGGGTCTTCAATTCTCGAGCTTCCTTTAATGCCTCCTCAGAAAAAGTCGGAAGAGTAGGCAAATAACACACTATCATGGTCCCGAGAGAATCGCTCGGGACGCTCTGATCAAGACTCGGGGTATCGGAACCGGCCCCGACCAGTGTAGCCGTCATCGACTCAGAAGGTATGGTGACCTCGATAGCTTTCGCGGATCGGACCACCAAATCTAAAACATCTTCTTCTTCTTCTTCTTCTTTTTCTTATTCTCTCAGTCGTTGGACCGAGTCCATCGGAAGAGCGATTGCCTTCCTCCTCACCCTTCGAGTTTTGGGCTTGAGGTCCTCTGACCGAGAGATAACTTTTTGCTTTTTATCTTTTCCCAGTTTCGGGACCGGGGACTTGGTTCCTTCCTCACCACTCGAAGGCCTCAAAACGGCATCCTTGGTTACGTCTGCATAAAAGGAAGTCAGTAACAAATGGAGCATAAGAAATGTTTCAAAAAACATGAGAAGTGACCTTTACCATGATTCTTGGCCTCCCACCTACCTTTCGCCAAATCACGCAAAGCGCGTTCGACATAAGAGAAGGTCGAGGCTAACTTCTGAACCCAATCCTCGAGGTCGGGTACTGCTTGTGGCATCCAAGGGGCAGCTGTATATCGGAGGGGGATATCGGATAGAATCAGAGAAAGATACGAAAAGCAACACCTTATGAAAATCACTTACGGTCGAAATTTCATTCCTCGGGGAATGACATCTTCTCTTCCGGGATAAGGTCACGGGTCCTCACCCGATTATAATGGCCTATCCAACCCCGATCCTTGTCTTCGTCGATGCTAGGCATTAAAGCTTTCGATGGCCGACGATGGAGCCTGATTAGTCCTCGAAAGATTTGAGGCTGATACAATCGTATGGGGTGATTTAGGGTGTAATCCAGCCCCCGGCCTTGTTGGAGAAGAAGCGAAGTAAGGTTACTATGCGCCATAGAGAAGGATGAATTTGACCGAGGGTGGCCTGATATCTTTTGCAAAAATCAATGATCACTGGGTCGACGGGACTCAACGTGAAGGGGCAAGTATAAACACTTAAAAATCCATCCACATGAGTGATGACGCTCTCTTCGGGAGAGAGAATTTGCAACACAACCTCGGGACCCAAGTTACAGTCTTTCCTCACAGCCTCGAGATGGCCCTCTGTTATCGAGCACATGTACATCGACATATGCTCACATCGACTCGGAACCGACTAAGGATTTTCAACCTTAAAATCGATCTTCAGAGTACATGGGCAAGGAACATACTCGTGGGGAGGCGGCTCCACCGGCGCCTTGTCACCGGACGACCGTGAAGAGGAAGCTTTCTCCTTGGAACTACTTATAAATTCAACTATATTCGACTTTCCGGGTAAACACTATGCTTTGACGAAAATGACATAAGCAATTATATATAGTAATACAAACAACAAAGGATAGAAGTTCTCAAAAATATTTTTAATAACTTTCAAGACATTAAACTTTCTCATTTTTGCACCATATATATAGTACTAGACAGCATGTAAGCTACTAGGGTCACCTCTACATCGAAGAATCCATCAGAAACCAACATATACAAAACGACTAAAACATCATATGGTTGGTGATTTTTCCAATGATTTAGTCTAAACCTCACACTATTATATATACAATCTTAAATTCCTTCATTTCAGAAAGTGTTTGAAAACATTTTTCATCTCATAATGCTAGGCATGGACAGGTCTCTTCCACCAGGATTTAGATTTCACCCTACTGATGAGGAGCTCATTGATTGTTATCTGAAGAAGAAGGTCTCAGCTTCCTATCCAGATCCAGTAATCTCTATAATAGCCGATATCGATCTCTACAAGTTCAACCCATGGGAATTACTATACACTGTAAGTCCTTTTTCAATGTTTGTGTTTATTTTTAATAACTGTAGTATAAGAGCAAGCTTGCGCACCTTGATTAGTCCATCAAGTATTTGCTATCACCACCTATTCAGATATCTGGTAACCCTCATGTCTACAAAGGAATAGGCAGATGGAACTGTTAAACCACGCCATAGGAGCACACCTATCTTTAATTTATTTCTAAAAACACTGCAAATTAGATAGAAGTATTAGTTGGTGTTTTATAGTTTAGAATACCAGATGATCTATGTAGCAATTACTCATCATTTTTCTAATATATGTTACTCCAGGCAATAGGCCTATTTTGGAGAGAGAGAATGGTTTTTCTACAGTCCCCAGTGCAGAAAATATCCTAATGGTGTTCGTCCTAACAGATCAGCTGCATCAGGGTCTTGGAACTGACAAACCGATTCTTTCTTCTATTACATCGCAGTGCCTTGGGGTTAAGAATACCCTCGTTTTCTATATTGGTCGTGCTCCAAAAGGAACCAAGCTAAGACTGACTGGACGATGTACGAGTATAGGCTTGTTAATTATGGCCATACTTCTTTGAGGTCATCAGAAGGATCAATGAGGTTAAGCTGCCCTGCTTTCTCTAACACTACCGAAAGAACAAGAATAATACAATGAAAAACAGTGTACATACAGGCTACATCAACTTCATTGGTTTGTACTATTTCATGAATGTGTAGCACTGAGATACAGGCTCTATATATATATATTGTTGGTCAAGACATAATTAAGTTACAACTTAAATATTTAGATGAGACCGTCGCACAATTCAATATAGTATCCAGATCCTAAGTTCAAGTGTTTGTTCATTGAAAAGAATCAAGTCCATCCAGCACGTAAGGAGGCATGCATGTTAAAAACATAACTAGCTTGGTTAAGGTGTGATTTTGCTGGTTAATTTAAGCTTTTATGAGATGGTTGCACAATTTAACAAATATGAACTAATTACGTAATGGGTTCTATGTAGAGTTAGTTGTAGAAACAACTCCATGGATCAAAAAATTGAAAATGGTGCAAACATGAACCATAGGTCTTTTCCTAACCATGTTGATGGCTGTGAGAAGAAGGCCGGTAGAGCTGAAGAAATGAATTACAAGTTGAGAGACATATATATATATATATATATGCACAGAAAAGTGATTATTTAAATTTACATGGATATATAGACTACAAACAGGTGGTTCAATACAAGAAACCATCAAAAGAGTTCTTTCCCTTGGAGCTTTAGATGAACAAGTTGCAATGTTTCCAAACAAGATCGAGGCTCCATTCTCTCACAATTCATGAATGACTAGTATTTTTGAGATCTCATTTGACACGCAGAACCAGCTTTGTGGTGTTGTTTTTGCACCATGTCTGCTCTGATGGAAAATTGAAGCTGCAACTTTACTGGAACCACAAGCATTATAAGATTTTAGTTCTTTTCTAAGTTGCTCAGACTCGGGTGTGGGTATCCGATATGGGTGCGGATCTAGAGGTGAGATTCTTCATGATCTAAATTTAAAGATTCGGGGGTACGGATACAAGTGCGGGGATTCGGCTAAAAATAATTTAATTATTTAAAAATAGAGTTATAAAAATATGTCTATGTGGAAAACTTATAAGGTATTCCGAGAAGGAGAAAATATTGAACAAGAGTAGAATTTTAGAAGGAGATAAAAGGAAAAGAACTGACATAGAAATTTATATATACAAGGTATTCAATTTTATTCCATATCACCATAACTTTTGATTTGTTTTCAAAAATCATTGTATATGTCCCAAATTTCTCCGTTGATTTTGGTCAAAGTACCCAAAATCGGTTGACCAGATCCGACACGGATCCCACACCCATACCCACACCCACGTCGTGTAGACACGAGTGCGGCACTAAAAGTGAAAGAGTTCGAACAACTTAGGTTCTTTTACGATGTCCGTGAAACATTTTTCATGCATAAAATATCTGCTGTATAAACAGTGGAAAGAAACACAAAGCCAATAACAGTTGGTGTCCTATGCATTAGCTAATACTCAAACCTTTTTAGCCCCCAAATTACAAATTCCAGGTTTTAAAACAAATATTATTACTATTCCCTTTATTTCATTTTTTTTTCAATTTATAAATTTTTGGTAGTTTAACTCGGCACGTAGTTTTAATTTTTTTTTTAAAACTTTCGATCTTAAAAACTTAAAGGGTAAAAGCTCTGTGGGACCATAATTTTGTATAGTTACTATAAAAATTTCTCATCGATAAAATGAAAAGTTTAAAGTTGAATTATTTTTAAATATAAAAATGTATCAATTTTTTTAGATAGACTATTGGATAACCAAAAAATATTATATTTTGGATAAGTGGAAATATAATTTTGTGATAATTAGTTTGTTAAATTATAATTCCCTTCCCTTTAATGTTAGTAATGATTTTTTCAATATAATGAGATTGGTTTAACATTTTATCATGAGTTGGCTAGTTAAAGAATAGAATGAAAATTAAAAAATTGAATAGCTTTTCACAGATAAAGAACTTTACTGATTATGTTAAACAACTTGTTGTGTCCTCAAAGAGTGATTGGGGGCAAAGGAGAAACAATGTAATTAAAGTGACAAGTTAGAATATCAATTATCTGATAATTAATCAACTTACGTGCCAACGATGTCATTAGGAAAAGAAAGAAAAGATAAAAAGGCCAGCCCGTTTAGCTTTACCAACACGCTGTCACGCCATTTCTCTTCAATTCCATAAAACCCCTTAACAACATTTCTGTACGTACTCTCAAACCTTATCCATTCTGAAGGGTAAAGTAGTAATATCGGGTCTTCTCAATCGACGTCATATAAATACTTCCTGGCCTCCTGTCCTTTCCCTTTTTCCCTCTTTTCCATTTATAAAATAAACGGCCAAAAAAGAACTCCACAGAGAACAGCCCCGTGTGTGAAAATATGCGAAGGTTTTTTGGCATAGGCTCCGCCGGAGACTCGCCGCAGCAATATTCTCCGTCACCGTCACCGCCGACGTCTCCGTCTCCATCGCCTCCACAGCGGTCCTCTATCAATGTCGCTACGGGACCAGCGAGACCGATACGTTTCGTGTATTGCGATGAGAAAGGAAAGTTCCAGATTGATCCTGAAGCCCTAGCGGTACTTCAGCTTGTCAAAGAACCAGTTGGCGTTGTCTCCGTTTGCGGTCGCGCTCGTCAAGGCAAGAGCTTTATATTAAACCAGGTAAATTAAATTTGAAATTTCAGTAATAGAATATTTTCATCCTCCTTTATTTATTAGGGTTTTACTTTCTGGTGTTGCAGTTCTTAATTTTACGTGAGACTTTGTGACCTTGTAATTAATTGTTTGGATAAACTAGTTTAGCAAAGCACATTACTCTGAAATAAGAAACAAAATAGCAAATAAATACGAAGGAACTAAACCAGCAAGAAAAAGTAGTGTCACGACCCAAAATCTAACCATGGTCGTGATGGCGCCTATCGTGTTACAAGGCAAGCCTACTTCCCAAAATATTACTACTAAACCGATTATAAGAATTTAATAAAACATTTCAACATTTAAATTTTTCATAAACTAAATCAACTCTAAATATAATATAGAAAAATACGGAAATGAGCCCCAAACATCGGGGTGTCACTAAGTTATGAGCGTCTAAAACTATAAACTAAGATATATAAACTATCTAACTGTCCAAAAGAAGAAATGACAAAAGGAGTAACAAGGTCCTGCGGACGCTAGCAGCTACCTTGCAATCTCCACAGATAGCCGGCCTGAACTCAACGATCGCCGCGCTCTAACTCACCTGGATCTGCACATAAAGTGCAGAGTGTAGTATGAGTACAACCAACTCAGTAGTAACAGAAATAACTAAGGAACTGAGCAGTAGTGACGAGCTAAGCAGAATAATCCAATTATTATTTCCACAATTAAGTACAAACAGGAGTAGACATGTAATTTCATAAATCAGTAAGACTACAAGGAAAATTAACAGGTAAATGAAGCAATAACAAAAGTAAATGCAACCTCACAGCAATGTCACTCCATCACTCGCACTCATCACTCAACGCTCAACACTCTGCGCTCACTGGGGGTGTGTACAGACTCCGGAGGGGCTCCCAAAGCCTAAGCGCTAAACACGGACAACTCACGTGCCATCATATCAATACCTGGATCCGCACGGTCAACTCACGTGCTACGCGGACAACTCACGCGCTATGATATCAATACCTGAACCCGCACGGTCAACTCACGCGCTACGCGGACAACTCACGCGCTATGATATTAATATCCTCACAACCAGGCCCTCGAACTCACTCAATCATGTACCTCACTAGCCTCACCATCATCAACAAATAAGGGAACACAACCCACATCAAGTATCACAACATATTAACAAATAATAGAGGCTGAGGTAAACATGTACAATAATTTCTATGACTGAATACAAATAATGTGAGCATGAATAAAGCCTAAGCATGATCTCTAACATGAATGCAAACAAGTTCAACAACAAATAAACACATAACCACAGATAATAGCCATTAGGCCTCACAGCCTCACGGGACAGACCGAGTCTCAATCCCTCGCGGTGCACACCCACACGCTCGTCACCTAGCGTGGGTATCACTTTCAAACAATCACGTGATGTCAAATCTCCGGGTTTATACCCTCAAACCCAGAGTTAAAACTGTTACTTACTTTAACAGTGTAAAAATCCTACTCCGGGATGCCCTCGTCTCTGGACTCGGTCTCCAAATACTTCGAATCTATTCACAATCAGTACAGTACAATACAATCAATACGAGCTAATGGAATGAATTCCACAAGAAAAGCTACATAATTAGACCAAAACCCGAAATTGGCTCAAACCCGGCCCCCGGACCCACGTCTCGAAATCCGACAAAATTTACAAAACTAGAAAGCACATTCACTCACGAGTCTAACCATACCAAATTCATCAAAATCCGACATCGTTTGGTCCTTCCAATCCTTAAATTACTTCTCCAAAAATCCCAAGCCCTAACCCCTCATTTTCACTAATTACAATGACTAAACGACGGAAAATCACCATTTATCCAAGTATTAGGGCTCCAGCAACTTACCTCACTGATAGCCGTTGAATCACCCTTCAAAAATCACTCCAAAAGCTCCAAAACCGACTTGAAAATGGTGGAAATGAACCAAATTCGCGAAGGGTTCTATTTATGGTTTCTGCCCAGGTTTTTTCGCACCTGCGGTCAAGGCGCCGCATCCGCGAACTCCACTTAATTCCCCAGCTTCCGCACCTGCGCTCCAGGCCTCGCACATGCGGGCTCGCAGGTGCGGCCAAATCCTTCGCGCCTGCGCTCCAGCCTTGGCCTCACATTTTCCGCATCTGCTCAGCAAATTCTCGCGCCTGCGAAAGCGCACCTGCGCTTTTCCTTCGCTTCTGCGAAGCCTGCCCAGCATTCCCCTTTCCGCATCTGCGCCCCAGGTTTCGCACCTGCGGGCTCGCAGATGCGACCTCCAACTCGCACCTGCGCAACCTGCCTAGCCCAGCATTGCCCGCACCTACAAACTCCC